ACGCTGTGGCGGAGTCAGTCGGCGGAGCAGGATACGCTCCCCCGGACCTCCCAAAGGAGCACTCGGGGCTCACCGCTAAGACAGGCTTGACCTCCGCACCCGCACCGTGGGGGCTTGGAGACCACCTACCCATCCCAGGGGACATCCCAGCATGTCCCAGCCAAAGCAAAACCGGGCTCTTGTCATCGTCAACACCAATTTCTGCAGCAGCGCCGGCGACGTGGTGTTTGGGACCCGGGGAGGAGCCAAGAGAGAAGCGGAGAAGCTTTCCAACGTACTCTCACGGCTCAACTACAAGGTGAAGCTGATGCATAACAAGACAGCCAAGGAGATAGAAGACCTTTACCAACAAGGTACGCGGCCCCCTGGCAGCCCCTAAACCCCCTCCTCATCCTCCCCCAAGCCCACCTATCTCCCATTTCCCACCTCTCGGTCTCAGAACCCTCCGCGCCACCCCGAGTCGATGCTCGACGGCGTCGGGGTTTGGCCGTGTCTTTGCAGAGCGCTGCCGCGAGCACGGGGACTACTTTGTGAGCATCATCTCCAGCCACGGAGAGGAGGGGGTCATATTCGGTTGTGACTCGGAGCCCATTAAACTGACCCGGATTTTCCAGATTTTATCGTCAGAGAAGTGCCCGGCCCTCACCAAAATACCCAAAATCTTCTTTATCCAGGTAACAGAACCGCTGGATGTTAATTTGATCCTCTTTTTGCTATGTTTGTGCAGAATTAGACTGGCACAAGCACGAGGCTTAAGATTGCCACTGGTGTAAATCTGTTTTAATCGTGGATTTTGCTGCATCCGTGTGAGAGCTCGATCCTTCGTTGCTCTCCAGCTTCCCACCACAACCCTCCATCCCTCTTTTTTCACGCTTTCACTGATTTTGAGGTCTCTCTGCTCACTGCAAACACTCCTCTCCCAGCCTATCATCACCCATACACGTGTTCTTTCGTGGGGAAACAGCCTCGGTCTTTTCCCAGTGTCTCCAGACAGGAGCGTTTCTCCCGGTGGTTTGCACCCTCCAGACTACTTGGGCTGAATCCAAATCCACGATACATGACACTGCTGGGATCAAATATTCCTCCCAGACACCACCAGGATATAAATGAATCGGTAAAAGCTGCCTTCAAATCCCATCACCGTGACATCTGGGCACAGCAAACTCCTGGGGTAGGGCTGGGAGAAGCCCAGCTGTGAACTGGGGATGTAGTAGAGAAAAAAAATAAAGCCCAGAGCTGGTTGCCAAGCAGTGAAGCAGCGGGGAGCGCGAACATGCCCTTGCAGGAAAGGAGCCCGGGAAGTACGCTGCAACGTTGATCCGACAGGGAGGATTAAATCACTGAACGAACAAATAATTCAGCAACCGGACGGATACAAGCAGATAGCGTGAGCTCTGCAAAGATTACGCAAATATACAGAAATCTTTCCACCTGAAAGCAAGTATAAATCACTCAAGGCATTCGTTTCCTTCTGGTAAAGGGCTTGGCCGCTGTTCAGGGAGCAGTGACAGCCGGGGACGTCCCCCAGACAAGCCAACAAACCCGAAGACTGGTCTGGGCACGTCGATCAGCAGGCAAAGCTCGTGCTCGTGCTGACGAACACCGTCCTCATAGAGCAAACACCGCGGGGCTGAGGGTGCCCAGAGCCCGGGCTGGAAGAGAAGGGCTGCTTCCCCTCGGCGTCACCACAGCTCTCAGCTCCCGGTGGCCTCCGTCCACCTCTCCGGGCTGTTCCGTGCCAGGGTGTGTTGCAGCTAGCTTGCAGGCATCTCTGCGGGCCACGATGAGCGAGGATTTACCGCTGGCGTTTGGCGGGGAGTTTGCACAGGGAGAGGTGAGGGGATGCTCCCGTCTCGCCTAATGCTGGGAGACGTCCACCGCTGGCGTTTGGTCTGGTCCCAACCAGCACGGCTCCAGGCAGGGGTGAAACGTGCCCTCAGAGCAGCCTCAGCAGCTCCAGTTCCTCTCCAGCACCAGCCCGGTACTCTGTCCCTGCGAGAAAGACCAAAACCATCAAGTAGAATAAAGGACCGTGCACAAACTGGGCTGCCCGCGGGCTGCGCTCCAAGGGGAATCTCTGCCAGCGTTTTCCCAGTGGCCTCTTGTGTTTCCAGGCGTATTTCTGGGTTTGCACGTGCATTTACCACGGAGGGAAGGGGTAAATGCAAAGAGAAAGGGAACCAGCCTCGTGAGAAATGCGTAGGGAAGAGAGGAGGGAGCCCCATCTCCAGGCTCGTCGCAAGAGAGGCTTGGCAAAGCTGAGCTGCAATGGATGAGAGGGGAAGAGGATGGACGATGGATGAGATGGGAAGGGGATGGAGATGGGAGAGGAACCGTGTGGGGCTGTAGGACTCGGGGAAGGGGAGCTGGGAGGGGCTCTGCACCACAGGATGGGTTGTAGGCTTGGTTTGGGGGGGTACAGGTCCACAGGGAGCCCCCAAAGACCCCAGGAGCTTTAGGCTTGCCCTGGAGACGGGCAAAAGGGAGAGAGCAGAGCAGGGGGAAGCTCATGACAGCCATTCTGCCCGCAGGCTTGTCGGGGGGGAGAATTCGACCAGGGGGTGGTTGTGGAGTGTGACAGCGGGGAGCCCAAGACAGAGTGCGAGCCAGACTGCTTCTCAGACTACCTCTCCATCCCTCCCCAAACCGTCGTGATGTTCGCCTGCAGCCCAGGTAAGGGAGAGCCCCTGACACAGCACCGCCGGGCAAAAACGTTTCCTTTCGGATACGTTGCCATCACAGGGCCACGGCACAGCCAACATTGCTCTCCTTCCTTTACGCTCTGCAGGCTACGTGGCCTTCCTCAACATCTTCGGATCCATGTTCCTCCAGGCCCTCCTCAAGGTCCTGGAGGGAGAGGAACGTCACCTGGCACTCAACCGCCTCATGACCCGCATTAACTGGGAGGTGGCGTTTCACTGCCAGGCCAGGGGCACCTACGAGGGATGCAAGGAGATGCCCTGCTTCGTCACCAACCTGCTGCAGGAGGTCTTCCCCTTCTCGGCGCCCATGATGGAGGAGGCAGACGGTGTTTGAGAGCTGCCAGCTCTGCAGAAAAGCCTGAGGGGTGAAGAGCAGCAGCTTGGCTGCAAGAAGTTCCCTGTCACGCATGGAGAAAAAAGGACAAGTTACAAGAAAACCAACAGAAAACCCCTCTGGAACGGTGACCGGCTCCATCTGGGATGTGCCGGAGCCATCCTGGGGGGAGGTTTTAACAAATAAGTGCAGCTGGGGCAAATCTTACCACAGGACCTTCTGCAGAGCAGAAACATCTGATTTAAGCACACGACAGCGCAGCGATCCCCAACACCCAAGAGCAGCAGCCCCACGCCACGGCTACCCACAGCTCCAGAGCGAGACATAAACCTGCTTCTCCCTGATTTTCTTACAGAAAAGAGTTCCAACCTTGCAAATGCGATCTCACCCATTTTGGTTTTTCTTAAATCTAAACCAACCTGCGCAGGCCATGGATTTTTGTCTTACAGAGGCAAAGCTGATGTGTTTACCTGGCCCTACCCATAATGAAAATACTGTGCCCTGCTGTAAAGATCACCTCATGTTCGAGCTGAGGCTGTTTAAAAATCCAAAGCTTTGGAAAAAAAAAGAAAAAAAAATAGGGTGGTGAGCAGGATTTGCAGGTTGGTGGATTAAGTAGGGACCTGGAGTGGAGATCAGGGAGTGGATTTAAGAGCATTTGCTCAAGGTAGTTCTCAGAGTTCATGATGAATAATTGGGTCTTTGCGAGCTTCCTTCTTACGTGAGCAAGGGGAGAGGGAAAAAGCTCCAGCCAGGACGCGAGCGGAGGGAACGGATGGGCTGGGACACCTCCTGGACCTGATGTATTTGCTCAAGGTCCTCTCCTCCCGTTGTCTCTCTGGTACCAAGAATAAACACGAAAGCCACGTCAATAAAAAAGCCTGAACGGCTCCCGTGCAAACACAGGGACATCCCTGGTCCGCGAGACAGGGGACCGCTCCTCAGGCGGCCGCAGGAGGAGGGAGCGGTTGAAGGGGGCCGAGACCTGCACCGAAGCGGCGGTTTCACCCTGCGCTCACGCATTAAGCTCTTTATTAAACCTGCGCCGCCCCCACCCTAAGGGCCTCTCGGATAAACTCTGGCCGTATCGGTATTTCTCAGCACGGAGCAATTCAGCTCCAATAAGCAGAGCCCAACCCAGCTGGCAGATAATTTTGGTTTCATTTAGCGTTTTTTTTTTTCCCACCCCTGGACTTTGACTCACGGGAGGTGTGCGGTGCAGCTCGGCACTCGCCACGTCCTGGCACGGGTGACGGGATGCTCGTGCCGCTGCCTCTCTCCCTTGAGGGACCCGCAGGGTTGTTCCTTCCCCACTACACTCGCTCTACCTGTAGGAATAAACTGGTTTTGAGACTTTTACAGCACTCTCAAATCAGGGTGGAACTGGGCAAGGGGTTCAAAGAGCTCTGGGAGCACAGTTCAGTAATTCTTGTTTCTTCGGGAAATCGCCCTAAAGACAGGCAGCAGAGCGGTGCTCTGATCTCCTCGTAGGAAGACTTGGACGAGCACTCGATCCAACAACCCCCTGTGCAGATGAACGGAGAATTTTTATTTTAATCGCCCATTTCCACCCTTTTTTCCTCCCTCAAGCTCTCAGCAGCCCCGTCAACAGGAAAACAAGCGGTCCTCCCTTTTTCCTAGCCCGTCCTCTGCACTGACTGCCAGGCAGCTGGTGTCCAGCCAAGTTGGAGGAGAGTGCAGGAGGGGGAATTTTCTCCTTTTAGGGAAAAAGTGGGGGAAAGGAGAAAGTTTCTTCCATTTACTGCAGGAAGCAGCAGTAAACGCTACCCAGACGTGCCTTCATCATCTGCTGCAGATCGTGGCACCTTCTCTTCCCCCTTCCACGGCTGGTCGGGCAGCAGCATCCCACGCAGGCTGCTCTCGCCGTGGGGGAACAGAAGTGGCACCGCCGGGCTCTCTCTTTTCCAGTCTCTCCCAGTCTCTGCTGTCCAGAGGAGACAGGCTGTGCTGGGATCCGGGCTGCATCCTCCTCGGAGCCTCCCTGTGGGTGAAAGAAGAAATACAACAGGAGAGATCCACAACCGAGCTCTGTTAAAAGCAGTTTAAACTCTGTCTTAAGGTCAGGTCCTAAATAACCCCGCTCACTCCCACGCATACGAGGGACCGAGCCGGTCAAGAGGAACGGGGTTGCCGACACAGAGTGATGGTGAAGCGGACTGGAAACTTCAAATCCGCTCTCGGCTGAAACCTGTCTTGGCTCCTTCCGGCTGCAGGGTT